CGTCCGTCTGACCCGGTCCTCGTGGGGGCCGCGACGGCTTTCGGCAAGCTCAGACGGTCTCGCGACTGACTGCGGCTCGCCGGCAGCCGTCTGGGACTGGCGTGGGGCTGGGAGCCTGGGCCCTCGGAGGTCCGCCTCCCCGCCTCCTTCCTGAGTGCCAGGCCAGCATCCTCGTTCCGCCTCCTTCCCAAGCTGGCATTCTGCACAGAGGAGGAGGAGGAGGAATCGCTGTCTCCGGAAAGACGCCGGGCTCTGGGGGTCCTGCAACAAAGAGAGGCAGCCCCTCAGACACTTGCCATTTTGCTCTTTCACAGGACCTCTTCCGATATTTGTTTCTATTTTATTAGACCTTTCCCCCCACCAGTTATTGAAGTCTCTTGCAGGGGGATTCGGGGGAAAGTTCAAGAGTCAAGGTGGCAGCCACACCCCAGTGATCAAGTCCCTGTCCTTTTTCTACACGCGTGACACTACACTGCATATGAAGAAGGGGCAGGGCTTCGACCATGCGGTCACAGCCACCACCTTGGCACCCCCCCCAGACACCTCCACTCTTTTGATGCCTTACTATAAAACTAAAACCCAGGATACCAAAGTCCAGGGAATATTATAAGTCAGATTAACGTTTCATGCAGCAGATGAATGTGCTGAACACCACAAAAGCTTTCTTCATAATACAGGTAGTCCTCGCTTAGCGACCACTCGTTCAGCGACCATCCGATGTTATGACGGTGCTGAAAAAAAATAACTTTATGGCCTATTTACGACCTTTGGAGCATCCCTCAGTCACATGATTGCCATTACAGTCAGTACACGTTGTCCTGGTTTTTTTTCCTTTTTTTCCCCCCCAAGATAATTTTTTTACAGTGTTGCATTATGAAATATGAATAATACATTACAGAATACAGACAATAACTGGGTATGGTGGAAGGAAGGAAGGAAGGAGGGAGGGAGGGAGGGAGGGAAGGAAGGAAGAAGAGATTGGAAAAGGAAGGAAGGAAGGAAGGAAGGAAGGAAGGAAGGGAGGGAGGGAGGAGGGAGGGTTAGGGAGGGAGGGGGGGGGCGGGGAGGGAAGGGAAGGGAAGGGCAGAAGGAAGGAGAATGAGAGGGGAAGGAAGGAAGGAGGGAAGGAAGGAAGGAAGGACAGTAGGAGGGAAGGGAGGGGAATGAGAGGGGAAGGGAAGGGAAGGGAAGGACAGAAGGAAGGAGAATGAGAGGGGAAGGAAGGAAGGAGGGAAGGAAGGAAGGAAGGACAGTAGGAGGGAAGGGAGGGGAATGAGAGGGGAAGGGAAGGGAAGGGAAGGACAGAAGGAAGGAGAATGAGAGGGGAAGGAAGGAAGGAGGGAAGGAAGGAAGGAAGGACAGTAGGAGGGAAGGGAGGGGAATGAGAGGGGAAGGGAAGGGAAGGGAAGGACAGAAGGAAGGAGAATGAGAGGGGAAGGAAGGAAGGAGGGAAGGAAGGAGAGATAGGGAGGGAAGGAGGAAGAGGAGGAGGAGAGGAAGGGAAGGAACATCTGGGGGGGCTAAGACCCCAAGGACGCTCAAGTTCAGGACCGTCTGCATCAAAAGCAACCGTTTGCTCCTTATGGTGCAACACTGTCTTCGTGTGCCTCGTGAGCATCAGCCACCCAGCAATTCCTTCCTGGTGTGACATGCCCTGACAAATGTCACTAGGCAACCAGGTAAACGTTGCACACGCCCTGTCAAATTCCAGCAGAGAAACAGGAAACCCGAGGGCTGCAGCTGGTCTCCTTCAGAAGTCAGACCCTAAAAATCCACGGGCAGTAAAAGTTGGTCGGTGGGTTTCTTAAGAAGCCCCCGATCTCTGACAGGGCGACTAGGTGGCGCTGGTGGGAAGGCATATATTTCTAACAGTCGTGGCGTGGGTGGAGCAGGGATGTAACGTTAGGACTGGAAGTGACGCGAGTGACAGCACGAGACTTTTTTTTGGCTTACCCCCCCGGCCCCCCTCGCACGTTAAGCCACTGGCGGTGCAACACACCACGTTTTCTTTTTCTTTTGTTTCTCAGCAACAGTCGAGAGGAAATTGCACTGATGCCGTTAGGGAGGTCACCACCAAATCTTGGCCGCGCGATTCTGGCCTGCCCTGCCCTGGACTCAGGATTGCAGAGGAGGATTTGCAGCTGAAATCGAGAGCCCGAAACGGCCGCGCCGGTCGGGGAAACCAAGACCGTCTCCGAAGGAAGACGTTTGCGCTCGGTCTTCCAGGCCGACTCGGCAACCAGCCGTGCAAATTCAGATTCCTGAATTCTGCAACTGCTGTTTTTTCAAAGCTTCCCATGACTCGAAAGCCTAGTCTAAAACCTCCGAAGCAGCAGTTGCACCATGGCAACACAAGGCTTTTCTCATGTGTGTGCGACATCGCAACACACGATCAAAAGGCGAGGAACTTACGGCCCCGCAGCACAACATGGCATTTGTCATTTGACACACACCCTCACCCACCCCCACCCCACACCCCGTGGATGCCTTTGGGGGACAAGATACAAGTCTCCTAAAATACAGATTCAACGAGTTGCAAGCCAGAAAATACGCTCCCACATTGGCAGGATCCAAGATGCAAAATGCCAGGCTACTAAGAGCATCTGCCTTTCGAGGGAACGTTTGAAAAAGGCACAACATTTTGCAAAGCAGCTCGCTTCTTCTAAGCCTACCGAGGGTGCAAAATTTAACACTTTGGACGTGCAGGTCCAGAGAACAGAGGTTGGGCTGTGCAACCCCCAAATTTTGCAGGGAAGCCAGACCCTTTCGTAGGCATGGTAGGAAGAGGGCTGCGTTAGTCTAGGGAGCAAGACATCAGGAGGAATCTGGCAGCCCCTTTTCCGACGGACCAATTTTATTAAAAGACAGAAGCTTCTGCCTTTTATTAAAACTGGTTTGCTGGAAAAGGAGCGACTAGCCTCTTTCAAATTCTGTTTTGCCGCCTACCCCACCCCTTCCACTCAAGTCCATTAGGAGCAATAAAATGGAATTGATAACCAGGACAATCTAATGCATCATTTCCCCCCACTCATCGCCCTGGCTGAGAAAGCAGGAAAAGTTTGGAAAAAAACTGTCATCGTGGTAGGGCGGGCCTCTCCCCCGATCCTGCTTCTGTGCTCTTGGGTGAGTCACCCTTGGCTCTCCTTCTGTTTCCCAGCACCCCAGCGGGGATTGCTTCAGCTCTTCTCCCGCTGTCTGTCCAGGGCTGCTATGAAGGGCTGATTTTCCATCACAAGGGGGGGCATTCCCAGGACACAGCTGCTGGTTTGGGATAAGCTGGGAGGAGAACGATGGTTCTCTCCAGATCTGATACACGAAAACAGATCACAAGGCACAATGCAGGGAACTCGCAAACGGGGACATTCCGGCATCGAGTCCCTGCGCTTGAGACCCTGACGGTCCCCGCTTTTCAAAAACCCCTTGGGAGAAAAAGCCGGGAAAAAGGAGATGCTTAATTAACACGATGAACGAATGACATGAAAAAAGAGCTTAGAAATGAAATGAAATGGGATTAAATTTAAAAAACAGTTGGGCTGATTGCTGCAAGGAAAAAGAGGCTCCTTTTCTGTGCCTCAAGACCCGCTCGGCCTCTGAGAGACACGGGGTGGTTACGGGCACCCTCCAAACAGCGGGTCCAGCCCGGGTGAAGAACTGGAGGTGGCCAGATCCAAACTGAAAGTCGATTGAATGTAATGTTGGTATTGCTGAAACGGCTAACTTTCCATGATTTGGATCATGTCTCCTTCTTTCCAAGGTTGCCCGATCTGGCTGCAAACATCTGGATGGAAGCTCTCTGTCCTTGCAGTTAAAAATTATATTTCGGGGCAGCATAGACAGAGGTGAATCTGTGTGTGTGTGTGTGTGTGTGTGTGTGTCAGGGCACCTGTGTGTGTTAAAATCTGCAAGATGCCCCTTTTATAAAGCAGGCAGACCTTTGATCATCATGCCACACGTAATGCCCGCCTTGCAGATACGGATACCCGTAGAGGCCCCTCCCTCTGGGAACCGATGCCAGGCTTTTGAAGGCCCCGGGGGGTTATAGGTTGAAGACCCCGGGACTAAACAATGGCCCTGATTAGCTGAGTGACTCATCTGGCACATCTGGGTGGGCGACAGCTACCAGCCTGGAACAAACCCAATTGCAGAGAGGGGGAATTTTATATGGATTTGCCGGGAGCTGGAATTTATTTTCACGCTGCCCCTTAATATGATGCGAAAAGGTACCTCCTGCACTGCTCAATTCTTCTGGGGTTTTCTTTACAAAACAATAAAGTGCTTTTCCTCTTAGATTTCTGCCGGGGGGGGGGGTTCACCTGGCAGCTCTCTGGGCAAGAAGATCTCATTTCCAGACCAAGCCAAGACTTGTTCAAGCCCTGTGCTAGGATCAGCCTTTTAGCCTCTCTTGTTAGAATGACTACAGTCAGTAAACAGTTTGCCCGTTTCCAAGGATCCACTGGTGGGCTTTGCTGGGAGGAGAGAAACCCTCCCAATAAACAGACGTGGGTCCTCCTGTGAATTTCTCTGCTGTATGTATTTATCGTCCCTGCTTGGGTCAGCTTTTCCTGCCATTGTGCTGCGACTTTTCTGGTTTTATTGGATTGCTTTCTGCCGGATGCTTCTAACTGATTTGCCCCCCACGTGGGGAATTAAAGCTATTGGGCGAATCAGAAGGGTAAACCAGATTGCTAACCGCAGCGGTGTCGGGGGGAGGTCCAAACCTGCATAATGGCAGTTCCAGCATTCTCCGCCCCTTTTGCACGTCCAGCACCCGCCGTCACGCAGACGTTGACCTTCCCCGTGGACCCTCCTCCCCAGCAAGGCTTGGGTGACCCTTTCTTCGGTACAGACCCACTTCCTGAGCTACGCAGCCAGAAGAGAGCCTTGTTCTGGCCTCGAAGAGGCCACCCCTTTCAGCACGTCTTACCTGACCAAGAGACGGGATTCTCCGGTATCCTGGTGGGCTTGGGGCATGCACCCCCTCAGAGGGCTGCCACAGCTCTGGCCTGAGGCACCCCACTTCCCACTTGGTGGGGCCACCGACCCCTGTCTCGGTGGGGTGGCCTCCCCAGGTCTCTTGGCAGGAGAGCCGGGATGGTTTCCTTTCGGGTGACTCGGGTCCCCTCCAGCCAAAAGCCGCTTCTCCCCCAGATGGTGGGGCTCGGGGACTTTGTGCAGATTCGCGGCTTCGGACCGACGCTGAAGGGTGGGGCTGTTCGCCTGGGGACTGGCCAGGCCGCTCGTTTTCTGGGGGGAGAAACTGAGCCCCCGGCTCTGGGTCAGGCGGTGAGCTGCAAAAAGTGAGAAAGAATACCCAAATAAATCAGCCAGCATCGGTGCGAGAGACAGGGTGGCTTGAAAAAGACCAGAAGAATGTTGGACGTCAAAAACGAGCCGAGCGAAGAGGAGTTGGTGAGTTGCTCATCTCATCAACAGCAGCCGGATCCGGGCTGCAAAAAGGCCCACGAGAAGAAATTCAAACCGTACGAAGAAACGCCGCCTTCACCAACTCAATAATAAGTAAAGGATGGAAGTTTTTTTTATTTTATGTATTTATTACATTTTTATCCTGCCTTTATTTTGTACAGCTCAAGGCAGGGTCCATAATGCTGCCTGCCTCCTATTTTCCCCCCAACAACACAAAAAAGCCCTTTGGTCCGGGGAAAAAAGATGCAACGTCAAATCAAAGAACTGCAAGGCTCGTGGAAGTTAAAAAAAATAAGAAAAACAGCAAGGATGGTATGATGGCACGAGCCACAAGGGGGCGCCATAGCAATGCTGCAACTAACCAACATTCTGCCTGGATCGAAATCGGAAGCACCCTTTAAATGATGTCATTTTTGGATTAATATTGTTTCCTGTTGCCTACTTCTGACAGGAAGCCTCCAGTTAACTACTTGGGGACACATGAGAGCACATGAATTGTGCTCTTTTTAATTTTGGATGCTCCCAAAATCACGATGCATGCCCAAGGCACCTCCATGCTTAGCAACTGGAAGAATATTTTAAAATCAGCTCTCTCCCTGGCTGTTGACGTTCGAATCCCCAGTTTGTTGGATGTAGCCTCGGGCCCATGCAGACGTGGACCCGGCAGCCTTTGAACTCAGGGCCCAGCATGACTGCCGGATGAGCTTCACAGCTAGTAGCCACCAGCCATCAAAAGCTATTGACCAAGTCACGTACATTCCACCCAGTTGAAGTTTTTGCGCCTTTCCTTTTTGTAGTAGGGTCCCTGACACCCCATCCAAAGGTCAAGGGTGCACTTGGACCAGTGTTTCTCAACCTTGGGAACTTTAAGAAGTGCGGACTTCAACTCCCAGAATTCCCCAGCCAGCCATGCTGGCTGGGGAATTCTAGGAGT